TGATCTGCATAGAATACACTTTGTCAGGAGCCCCTTTTCTCCTTCCCCTATGGTGAGCCGTGATCTCATCTAAGTGACCAAGCAGTGGATTTTTTTTCTTTAAAAATGAAGTTAGTTGTTATTGTTTTCCCTCTAGGGCCACGGTTCTCAATGTGGGACACACGCCCCACAAGGGTGCAATGTGATTTTTAAGGGGGGGCAATTCGAGAATGAGTTATTAACAGTGAATGGCCTTTTAGGCTTCCTCGGTGTGAATAGGAGTTCAGTTTTTGAATAATAAGAATAATATGTCAAGGTGGGTGCATCAGGGTTTTAGAGATACAGTGGTACCTCCGGTTACATACGCTTCAGGTTACAGAAGCTTCAGGTCTGTACAGACTCCGCTAACCCAGAAATAGTACCTCGGGTTAAGAACTTTGCTTCAGGATGAGAACAAAAATTGTGCTCCAGTGGCGCGGTGGCAGCGGGAGGCCACATTAGCTAAAGTGGTGCTTCAGCTTAAAAACAGTTTCAGGTTAAGAACAGACCTCCAGAACGAATTAAGTTCTTAACCCGAGGTACCACTGTACTTAGGTGAGGCATGGGTAAAAAAAAATGTTGGGAACCACTGCTCTAAGGCTATTGATGTTCCATTATTATTATTATTATTATTATTATTATTATTATTATTATTATTATATTGTTTATACACCACCCATCTGACTGGGTTGCCCCAGTCTGGGCAGCTCCCAACAAAATATTAAAAACACAGTAAAACATCAACCAATACAATAGTTGTATCTGTTTGACATCTGATGGGAGGGGGTTCCACGGGGAGGATGCCCCTGCTGGGAAGTCCCTCTGCCTTGTTCCCTGTAACCTCACTTCTCGCAGTGAGGGAACCACCAGAAGGCCCTCGGAGGTGGATCTCAGCATCCGGGCTGAGCGATGGGGGTGGAGACGCTCCTTCAGGTATACAAGGCCAAAGCCATTAAGGGCTTTAAAGGTCAGCACCAACACTTTGAATTGTGCTCGGAAACATACCAGGAGCCAGTGCAGATCCTTTTGGACCGGGGTTATATGGTCCTGGCGGCTGCTCCCAGCTGCCGCATTCTGTATTAGCTGTAGTTTCCGAGTCACCTTCAAAGGGAGCCCCAAAGGTAGAGTGCATTGCAGTAGTCCAAGCGGGAGATAACCAGAGCATGCAGCACCCTGGCAAGACAGTCCGTGGGCAGGTAGGGTTTCAGCCTGTGTACCAGATGGAGCTGGTAGACAACCACCCCGGAAACAGAATTAACCTGAGCCTCCATGGACATGTTCATTGGTTTCATCACAACTCTTCTTGGTGTCTAAGTTCAATTTAATAAAGCAATGTGCCACCAGATGAAATGAGCTCCCACGACCTACAAAGTTTAGGGATCCCTGAACCAGATACTGTGATCTGCCCCCTTTTGCCATTGGTTCAAGATCCTAGTTACGACCTACCACGGCCCAGGTGCAACAGACCTGAGAAGCCATCTCCACGCCTAACGTTCCACCGTTGCAGCCCTTAAGTTTCAGGGTGGTGTTCCTGCTGCATTCACTATCTATGCACCAAGTTAGGACTGCAAGAGTGTGCAGAGAGGTTTGTTTGGGCCTCTCAGCAGTGCGACCTTCTTCCCCTCAGAGACTCCCCAAAGCCCAAATGTGACAACAAAGGCAAGTGTGCAAAAATGAAGTAACCGCGTGGAATATTCTTTCCAGGACTGTCCCACTTTGGACGGCAGGTTGGGGAACTAGAACCACAGAATTGTAGAGTTGGAAGGGACCGCAAGGGTCATCTAGTCCAACTCCCTGCAATGCAGGAATTTCAGCTAAAGCATCCATGACAGATGTCCATCCAACCTCTGCTTAAAATTCTCCAAGGAAGGAGAGTCCACAACCTCCTGAGGGAGACCGTTCGACTGTCAAACAGTTCTTACCATCAGAAAGTTTTCCCTGATGTTTAGTCAGAATCTCCTTTCTTGTAACTTGAAGCCATTGGCCTCCGGAGCAGGAGAAAACCAGGATCTTTGGATGAAGGGCAGTATACACATTTAATAAATAAATGTCCTGAAAGGGCCCTTTTCCCAGGTTGGGCCCAAACCTGAGTCTGGACTCACAGCCCTTCTAAAGCCCTTTCTCAGAAACATGAATATTCCAGTTACCTCAAGAGTGGGGAACCTATGACCCTCCCGGTGTTGCTGAACTACAACTCCCATCAGCTCCTGCAAGCATGTCCAATGGACAGGAGTGATGGGGGTTACGATACGATATGATACGATGATACAGTAATCTTTATTGTCATTGTCCCATACAGAACAACGAAACTGAAAAAATCTACATCAGACCAACAAGCCTGCTATCCCAGCCTGGTTAGCCCCCTAAAAACTCTGATACCCCATAATTAAATACAATATACTCCCATAGAGACTACCTTACCTTGTTGTTTAGCAACACCTGGAGAGTCAAAGGTCCCCCACTCCTGATCTGGAAGAACCACAGGTTCTTAAATTTTGCACTTTCTGGTTCTTAGGTGGCCCTGAAAATGTATATACAATGCCCCCTCTTTTTTTCATAGTTTAAACCTTGAATATATGCAAGTTTTGAACATAAATGCATATAGAACATACTCTTGTTCTGAATTTCTCCACTGCCACCAAGACTTTTCCCCCACCAACCGTTGAAAGCAAAAGCACCACCTAAAAATTCATAAATAGTACCTACAACTCTCCCCACCCTCCCCAAGATCAACGATATTTCGGAGTGGGAAGAGGAGAATGCTCAAAGCCTTTGTGAGTAATTCCATTTCAGCAGATTTTCAATGCCATTTAAATAAAAAGATTCCCCCCCTCCCAAAGTGACCACACACCAACAGAACATATCTCGTATTATCTCCAGGTTTCAATAACAGGCCAGAAAAGACTTCCATGGGTCCGTGGGAATGATAAATGAAAGCAGCTCTGGCCAAAAAAAACAAAAAAACAAAAAAAAACCCTTTCCATTTCAGCAAGCTTTCAGATTGCAGTGCTTTGCATGTTGCCTTTAAGTCCAATGAACATAAAGGGGCTCGTTTCTGTGTAACCATGCATAGGACTGAATTGTTAGCCATTTTCACCTGTCCCCATACAAGACACCCATTGATGTTGATTCATACCCGACAAAGTACAAATCTTGCTTATACCTGTCAATATAGCTAGAACGGAACGGCTGTGCTGCACGTAAATGAGTGGCAATTTTACTAAGTGCATTGCAAAAGCAACCTATGCTTGATTAATCATCGCATTTTCAGTTGTATCCCCTGCCCGTCTTTTCTATAATTTGATATTTTTTTTTAAAAAAAAAGAAACACACACATGCTTCTTGCAACTGAGCAATTATATCCATGCAGCCATCCCTTGAAGGACTGGTGTGTCAACATCTGCCTTTTGTCCCTGAATCTCCCCTCTCTGCTCCTGATGAGAAAGCTCCCAGCTCCAATTTGCATCCCTTTCTAGAGCCATCTCTCCAGTATCTCCAACGTCAACAGTGCAAGGAGGGGAAGCAGGCAACCAAGACGTCTTAGCTGTGCAGCCTTGCACTTCTCGCATCAAATAGAGGAGCTGGATCTACAGAGGCGCTTCTAATCTAAAAGCAGGCAGGGGAGTAGGAGAAATGAAGGGGATGATGAGAGAGAAAGCCATGGAGGGGTGAGATATAGTTGGGTCTGGGTACCATTCAGCCCAAGATAGTGCTACGGCGAGACTACACCAAGGCAGAAGCAAAGCAGTGAGCTATTCTGCTCCACAGATCTGAGCCAATACGGAATCGCATCTGCTGTACATACAGACATTCAACATACAAGTCCTTGCTCCTTTGCACATGGGACAAAAGGATGGAGCATTTGCTCCACACTAAAACTGGGAAGAAAAAGACACTATGTTCCACCAGGCATAATCTTGGGCAAAAATGGGACTGGGGTTTTATCCCTGCAGCTACCTAGGCCCAACCGGTTGTATACAAGCTCCCCATCAGAAGAGAAACAGTTTCCCCATCTGTACATTGGGGCTAGTGGCGAGGATGATAATAGAGCCTGGCAGAAGCTGAGCAGCATCATCATAAGAATCCCAAAATGCTGTCTCAACAGTAACTTTGATTTACTGCATGAAGCCCTTGGGGAGACGGTACATGGCAAGTCATTCCCCCCCCCCTTGCAATTATTCCTCCAATTGTTTGCAAAGAAAGTAACATGACGGATAGCAGGTAGCTGTCATTGGGCTGGAAGCGGAGGAGAGGGGAGATGAAGACACAAGCAAATAGGCTCTGAAATGAAATGAACATTTATCCACTAGAGCAGGCCAGCCACCCTGCCAGAGGCAGCTAGACGCGTGTCTTTTTCAGGGAGAGATACAAAAACAGGGAAAGTTGGCGATGCCCAATCCTGGGATCTTGCCTTTAAGATGATGGAGCTGAATAACCCAAGGTCCTGAATAACCCAAAAAAACTAACTGCAATCCAATCTTGCGCTCCCCTGAGCCTACCGCTGCAAGCAGTCTGCCATCACAACATACAGTAGCAATGAGTTCCACAGGTAACTGATGCATTGTACCAAGCACTATTCCCTTTCGTTTTGTTTCTTTAGATATACAGCTTACCACTTTCAATGGTTTGTTTGGGTTTTCTTTGTTTTGTTTTTAGATTAGCGAGAGGGTGAGTCATTTTTTCTACCCTTCTGTCTCTTCCTCCTCACCCCCCTTCCCGGTTGTTGCTACATCTCTCACCTTTTTTCTGTTTTTACCCAATGATGGATCGATGGCTAAGCAAAGCTTAATGGACACGTGTCTCCCCAACCCCCACCCCTGCAAGCAAAGCAGCCTGGCGCCAGAATCGAGGCCCAAAACTAAAACTAACTGGTTATGGCAGGGTTTTTTGGGTTTTGGGTTGTTGTTTTTAAGAGTAGCAAATTGGCGAGTAACCCTACCGCGCAAACAGCAGGGGGAACTGGCACAAATCGGTGCACGGGAAAGGATGGGAAATAGGTAGCAGTGCCTTGCCTATTCATCTCTTTGCAGCTTGCAGATACAGCTTGCAGATAGCACTTCCGTCCAGATACAGCCAAGAGAAATAGGTAGGATGGGGGAGAAAGGGGGGGGGCTATGGTAGGCGATCTCCAAGGATGGACGGCAGAAGGGTAGGTGGCTAGGCAGATATTTACAACGGGAGATCTCCCGACTAGGTGCCTAGGTGGACTGAACGATAGATGGAAGGAATGGCACAGCGACGGATGGAGAAGAGGAAGAGGGAGGGATGCTGCTGTAGAAAAAGGCTGGGAATGCTGCAAGGAAGGGAAGAATAGATGGAGGTGGATGGAGAAGGGGGAATTGGCTGGGAGGAAGGAATCCTAGATGGAGGGGCCCGTGGCTGGAGGGGGCTAAGGGATTGGAAGGAGGGTTTTCAAAGGGTTATCGATTAAAGGGGTGCGGGAGCCTTTCGGCTTGCCAGAAGAGATGTGGAGGCAGCGGAGATGGAAGGGAGAGGTGGTCCTCCGCGGCTGGAGCGGTGGTGGGTCTTAAAGCGGCCGCCCCCACCACCCCCCAGTTGAGACCACTACCACCACCTCCCGCCCGTCCGCCGGCTCCCTTTACTCACACGTAAGCGTGGTAGATGAACGCCCAGCCTCGGGGCCTCTCGAGCACGTTGTAGAGGAAATTCTGGAGCTTGCGGTAGAAGGCGTTTCTCTTGGGCGGCTTGCCGGAGACGGCCGAGCGGGGCTTGCTGAGGATGGAGCCGCGCTTGCTGCCGCCCTCGGGGCCGGCGATGAGCAGCGCGCCGTCGCGGGTGGAGTCCGGCGCGCCGGGATCGAGACCCACGAAGCCCACCTTGAGCTTCTTCTCGCCCGACGCGCTCGGGTACACGCCTCCGTTGCGCGATTTCTGCACCATCCTGCTTTGATGGGGGGTGGGGGTTTGCGATGGGGCGGCGATGGGGGGGGAAGGATGGGGAGGGGGGTCTCAGAGGGGCTGCGAGGGGGGAGCAGGGGGAGGGTGAGGAGGGCGGAGGGGCTGCCCCGGGCCGGATGGGGGCCGTGGCATGGCGGGGGTTGCGGGGAGCGGTCGGCGAGGAAGAGGCGCGGAGGAGGGAGGAGGAAGAAGAGCGGGCGCTGCGGCGAAGGATGCCGCAGCTTCCCCGCGCTGGCGAAGGAGCCGGAGGAGCGGAGGGGAGGGAGGCGGCGGCGGGTGGCCGGGAGGGGGAGCGGCGTGGAGGGAAAGAGAGAAGGAGCTTCTGCAATCTGGGCAGCCCACTCTCCGCCTGCTTTTGGCGCAGCTCCGCCCCGACGCCGGCGGTGCCTCCCCGCGCCCCCTCCCTTAACCCTTCCTGCGCCTCTCTCGGGCTGCCGGCAGCCTTGGCAACGGCGCAGGCGGGGGAGGGGGGCGGGGGAATCACACCATCAAAATATTCTACTCAAATATACCGTCGATATTTGAATAAAATATTGGGGGGCCCAGGTAAGGCTCTCCCCACATGATCGATCAGGCGTCCATGCACACCATCTGAATGACAACGCCAATCAACTTGGGGGGGGGCTAGCCCCTTCAAATATTTTATTTTGGGGTGGCAAAGGAACCGTTGCGCATCATCCAACTGCTAGGGGTCGAGGTCTCTTGCCCCAGTCCAATAAAGTCCCCCCCCTCCGTTGATGGGCAAATGATATGTGTACGCCGCGTCATGTGATCAGTTATTCAGGGCTGAGCTTACCTGGTTTCCCCTCCCCCCAATATTTGATTCAAGTTGGCGCCCCTGGACCTCGGCCCCCAAGTGTTGGTTCCTATGCACAGAATAATAGAATTGTAGCGTTGGAAGGGACCCTAGGGTCATCTAGTCCAACCCCTCTGCAATTCAGGAATCTTTTGCCCAGCGTAGGACTCGAACCCACGTCCCTGAGATTAAGAGCCTCATGCTCTACCAACTGAGATCCCGGTGGCCCCTTCCGACTCTACAATTTTGTGAACACAAAGCACAATCCTTCAACGACCTTATTCAAAGAAACCAGAAGCTGGGTTCTGCAGAACTGACACTCGAACTCAGGTCGCAAGGGAGAAGCATGCGAAGAAGAAGAAGAAGAAGAAGAAGAAGAAGAAGAAGAAGAAGAAGAAGAAGAAGAAGAAGAAGAAGAAGAAGAGTTTAGATTTGATATCCCACTTTCTCACTACCCGAAGGAGTCTCAAAGCGGCTAACATTCTCTTTTCCCTTCCTCCCCCACAACAAACACTCTGTGAGGTGAGTGGGGCTGAGAGACTTCAAAGAAGTGTGACTAGCCCAAGGTCACCCAGCAGCTGCATGTGGAGGAGCAGGGAAGCGAACCCGGTTCACCAGATTACGAGTCCACCGCTCTTAACCACTACACCACACTGGAAGGCATGCTTGGCAAATCCACACTGTGATCAACTCCCACCCGAAAAACAATGTCCCCACTGTGGAAGGACGCGTGGATCCAGAATTGGCCTCCACAGTCACTTACGGACTCATTGTTAAATCCGAGTTTATGGAAGACAATCTTACTTAGCTATGAGTGATCGCCAAAGAAGAAGAATAAATTATAATAAATTTTTATTTATACCCCGCCCTTCCCGGTGAAGAAGAAGAAGAAGAAGAAGCATGCAGAACTGGGCTGTGATTAAGCATACTTATGCACAAAGCTGCAAAAGACAGAAGAACAAACCCATATATTGTGCCGAAAAGATATTTTTAAGACAAAACCTGCTGTACAGTGGTATCTTGGGTTAAGTACTTAGTTCGTTCTGGAGGTCCATTCTTAACCTTAAACTTAACCTGAAGCACCACTATAGCTAATGGGGCCTCCTGCTGTCGCCGCACCACCAGAGCACGATTTCTGTTCTTATCCTGAAGCAAAGTTCTTAACCTGAAGCACTGGGTTAGCGGAGTCTGTAACCTGAAGCGTATGTAACCTGAGGTACCACTGTATTCAAAATAATCCTGAGGAAGTCCCTGCATTGGTAGAATATAATTGCAAGCTTTGAGATGCAAGGTGCTTCCTCAAAGCTACAGCAGATAAAACATAAAGCCGGTGCAATTGTGAATCGATGGCTTTTTAAAAAATGCAAAAGGGGCCCGGCAGTTTGTTCTCTTGGCCCAGCTGAGTTGACAAAGGTAACAAGCAAGCTTTCCAGCAGCACAAAACTTTGGTTCAGAGCGCCACAACTGGCAAAGCTGGCATCAGGAAGCAACAAGTGAAATAACAAACCATAAAGAGCTTTCAATAGACAAATAAAACATCAAACCATTATGGGCTTTCAGTAAACCCCAAATTTCATGTGGCATTGCCTTCCTGAAATAACATATTACTTAACCTTATGCCAGTGGCAAAATTAACCGTTGCAAAGCGTCGGAGGACTCTGATTGCAGAGCTGTTCTTGGACTGGCACCAACAGATATGTAGTCTAGCGCTAATGGAAAAATTAATATCTCAGCGATGGGCTCGCTGCAAGAATCCAAACACAGACAACTTCTCTGCTGTTTGGTTCTCCTTTATTAGTCATGATAAAAAGAAATATGGATTCTGGACTCCTCGTCCCCAAGGACAATTGTGGGACAATAAGGTGATGTGAAAGGGGATGGTTTGATGTGCTTTCTCTACCTGTAATCATCATCAGTTGCTTTCTGTTTCTTGTGTTATCTTGTATTTGACAGTTCTAGCCTTCATAATCCTTGCTACCGATATTCTGGGGGCAGAAAACATACTGTACTTTGTGTACAATACTCTGGTTAGGAGGCCAGGTTTGGAGATAAGCTCCACATTTAAAAAACAGTAAATATCAAGAATTTCATACCTGAGTTCTTTAAGAACTCTCTGGTGAATGTCAATTTGGCCCCAGCATCTTGTCAATTTTCAATTAATCAATTTGTATCAATCTCTGAAAGGTGTATTTGTTTTATTTATTTTTTGCTTTAGCATCAATTAATACTTGTCCTGGAATATGCAAGAGAAAGAGAAAGCTTCATCTTTTGTCATCTTTGTTGTACAAAGGGCTCATCTACACTTGTCCCGTGTCTAGAAAGCACGAGTCTGAACTGTTTTCCACTCGTCCCACACTTTCTAAGCATAAGTCCAAGAGATTTTGCCTTTCCCCACTGCTTTCCTCCAGAAAAGCCACTCTTTAGTGCTAAATTGGAACAAATGGCAATCCACAGAACAATCAATTCCCATTTGTTCTGATTCAGCACTGAAGAATGGGCTTCCCCTGGGAAAGGCAGCAGGGCAAATAGAGGTGTGGATAAGCCCATTGTTTTTCACATACCCCCCCCCAAAAAATGTTGCAAAGGTGGGAGATATCTCTCCGATAGTGTCCACTGGAAAGACTGAGCCAGGTATTTCATTCACTTCTCAATGATTTGAGAAGAGCGTTTACCATGGCCCGTTTCCATTCTACACCCACGGCCTTCCTGCAGGGGATTTACTCTAAGACCCCTATTACTCAGCGTCTATGTCCATGCACAATGAATGAAGTAGAGGACTTCATACATTTCTTTTTCTACTGCCCTATTTATGAGCTAATAAGAACTAAGCTCCTCCTCTTGATCCCGTCCACCATCACATCTAAGGAAGACTGTTTGAAATCGCTTCTTGTGGACGCAAATCCCCAAATTTCACGTGGGGTGGCAATCTTTATAGTGCAGGCTTTGAAACTCAGGGCTACTCTGACTGGGTAGTGTGTCCTAGACCTGGACCTGTTTTAATTCTTTTTATTACCTTTTTAACCTAATGTGCCGAGCCTATTTTGGGGCCATTATATGCTTTATATACATCCGCATTTTAGATTCCCGGCGCTGGCAACTAAATCTTTACATTATTGTCTTAGGGTAATTTAAATGTCATAACGCCAGTAATATCGCTTTGAATTTTGTTTGGTTGCTTGTCTCTAGCATTTTTGTCTTATCCTGCTATGGCTGTATGCTAATGCAATAAAGGTTTGATTGATTGATTTGCTGCTCCTTCTATAGCATTTACTTTCTCTCTTTTCCATCTAAAAGTCCTCTTTTTCTTTTTTTCTATTATTATTTTTTTCCATTTGCAAATGAAAGGGGGAATTAAAGAAGAAGATAAAATAAAGAAAAAAGAAATAATATACAAATAATACTAATAGTAGCAAAAAAACACAACACCTCACAATATTGGCTCACGTTACAGATACAGTAACCATCTCTACATGTGTCTTAAGTTAAGCATCTAATATGATATAAACCCTCTTGATGTTCGAGCACGTATCCACACAGATTTGACACCTATATGATGCATGTATGAATGTAAGCAAGGCAGTGAGCTCCTCAAACCAATTGTGCAATATACGGTAGGTGTTTCTTTTTCCAAGCTCCAGGTATAAGTTTCTTAGCAACCAGCAAGGCTCACGAAATCCATCTAACAGCGCTTCTGATTATCAGACCTACTGCCAGCTGGGACAAGCCCAGAACTGGATGAGGCCTCTGAGGAGGAGGAGGACCTCTAAGCAGCCCTGTCACCTACCAAGTCCAAGCTGTATTACTGTGATGGCCTGGGACTCGGGCTCAGCCTCGAAACCAGAGGAGTCTCAGTCTGCACCAGATCCTTTGCTTCAGGCATCATCCGAACCAAGTCTGGGGCCTGATCCTGAAGAGTCCCAGTCTGCACAGGTCCCCCTGCAACAAACACCAGCTGGGCCGAGTCAGGGGCCTGAGCCTGCCCTGGCTCCAGATGCGGGGATTACCTTGTTGCCGTCAGCTGGGCCATCACTTACAGCTGCTCCACTAAAGGTTTGGTCAGGGGAGGCTGAGGTTGGCCCCTGGGTCTAGTAACCCACCGACGTCTCCCGAGCTGCAGAGACTAAGGTCTGACAGAAGGAAAGACCTGAGTACTCGCAGGAGGAGTCCTTGCCTTCGGGCAAAACAGGGAGGTGAGTTGCTGGGGGATCAGGACCGGCCACTACCCCAACAAAGATAAAAGGCTGTCGGACCCTGCCCCAGGTTGTGGGAGCAACATTGCTGTATGCCAGATCCTGCCTGAAATCCTGTACCTGTCCTTGCCTGGTTTCCTGCCTTGTGTCCTGCCTTGGCCCTGCTGGACTGACTCCTAGCGGAACCTTCAGATTCTGGTCCGGTCCTGGACCGTGTTTCATGAGTTACCCCCAGGCCCAGCACAATTACCTTGTGATATAACCACCCAGATCTGCTTGGTGTGGCTGCAGGTCCTGACACACCTGGATGGTCTCGCCTTGCAGTGCTGTATCTCTCCAAGCCTCAACCCAAACTTGAAAACAGAGGAAGACATGAGTGGGGAGGCAAGGACTTCTGGAAGGAACACAGTTCACCCACTCTGGATCCCAAGGCAGTCCCTGCCATCCCCACACACAGCTGCAGGACACAGCAGTAGCCCTTGAGGGCAGAAACAACTTCTCAGGGGCGGTGGAGCGAACAGGTGGGCTGGGCTAGTCCATCTTCAGAAGGCCTTTGCACCTTGCAAATCTCCCTGGCCATTGTTGAGAGTACTGCAGCCAGCTTCATCACAGGGCTCTGTCCAAGGTGCTGACCACTTCTGCCTCCTCTGAGGCAGGCCCTGGCTCTACCTGCATTTCCCTGCCTTTCCTAGACTTGACCCGGCCTTCTGAGTAAGTGCTGTTATTATAGCCCATTTCCCCAGTGAGTTTGGCAGAGGGTCAGAACAGGATCCCAAGACCCTTCGAGACCACCCCCAGGACCCCATGAACAGGGAAATTTTTCAATTTATCAATTTGCAAAATGTAAAAAAAGGTAAAGGACCCCTGGACAATTGCGTAAGTCCAGTCAAAGGTGACTATGAGGTTACAACACTCATCTCGCTTTCAGGCCAAGGGAGCCGGCGCTTGTCCACAGACAGCTTTTCCGCATCATGTGGCCAGCATGACGAAACCGCTTCTGACGCAACAAACACTGTGATGGAAACCAGAGCAGTGCACGGAAACGCCCTTTACCTTCCTGCCACAGTGGTACCTATTTATCTACTTGCACTGGTGTGCTTTCGAACTGCTAGGTTGGCAGGAGCTGGGACAGAGCAATGGGAGCTCTCTCCGTTGCGGGGATTCAAACCGCCAACCTTCTGATCAGCAAGCCCAAGAGGTTCAGTGGTTTAGACCACAGCACCACCAGCACCAGTCTCTAAAAGCTGTATTATTTTTTTGCTTTAGTGTAGATAAAGACTTGTCCTGGAATATGCAATTTAAAGAGAAAGTGCTCGTGAACAGAGGAAGTGATGGATCAACATGGAAACCCAGAACTGAGCCAACAGTGTGACGCGGCAGCTAAAAAAGCCAATGCAATTCTGGGCTGCATCAATAGGAGTATAGCATCTAGATCAAGGGAAGTAATAGTGCCACTGTATTCTGCTCTGGTCAGACCTCACCTGGAGTACTGTGTCCAGTTCTGGGCACCACAGTTCAAGAAGGACACTGACAAACTGGAACGTGTCCAGAGGAGGGCAACCAAAATGGTCAAAAGCCTGGAAACGATGCCTTATGAGGAACGGCTAAGGGAGCTGGGCATGTTTAGCCTGGAGAAGAGGAGGTTAAGGGGTGATATGATAGCCATGTTCAAATATATAAAACGATGTCATATAGAGGAGGGAGAAAAGTTGTTTTCTGCTGCTCCAGAGAAGCGGACACGAAGCAATGGATCCAAACTACAAGAAAGAAGATTCCACCTAAACATTAGGAAGAACTTCCTGACAGTAAGAGCTGTTTGACAGTGGAATTTGCTGCCAAGGAGTGTGGTGGAGTCTCCTTCTTTGGAGGTCTTTAAGCAGAGGCTTGACAACCATATGTCAGGAGTGCTCTGATGGTGTTTCCTGCTTGGCAGGGGGTTGGACTCGATGGCCCTTGTGGTCTCTTCCAACTCTATGATTCTATGATTCTATGAAGGGACTTTAAAAGACAATTAGACAAATTAATGGAGGAGGAGTAGGCTCTCAATGGCTACTAGACACAATGGCTATGATCTGTCTCCACAGCTGGAGGGAGCAATGCTTTTGAATACCTAATGCTGGGAACCACAGGAGGGGAAAGGGCTCTTGTTCTCAAATCCTGCTTGCGGGTTTTCCACAAGCATCTGGTTGGCAACTGTGAGACCAGGATACTGGATGGGCCCATTGGTCTGATCCAGCAGACTTGTATCATGTTCTAATGTCAGTGCCCACCTGACAGCACAAGGCCTCCCATCCCTGGGCCCTACTCAGGTGGAAGAACCCAAATCCAAACATTAGCCTGCACACCTTCTAGGACAAGAACTAAAACTGTTCCATTGGTACACAGCAGCTGCTGATGCAACATGCTCCAAAAATTTGGGCTCCTGAACTACTGGACAGCTCTTGCTGGCAATGCAGGACTCTGGTCCCAAAGCAGCAATAATAATAATAATAATAATAATAATAATAATAATAATAATAATACCCCGCCCATCTGGCTGGGTTTCCCCAGCCACTCTGGGTGGCTTCCAACAGAACACTAAAATAAAATAAACTATTAAACATTAAAAGCTTCCCTGAAAAGCTTCAGATGTCTTCTAAAAGTCTGGTAGTTGTTGTTCTCTTTGACATCTGGTGGGAGGGCGTTCCACAGGGCGGGTGCCACCACCAAGAAGGCCCTCTGCCTGGTTCCCTGTAACTTGGCTTCTCGCAGTGAGGGAACCGCCAGAAGGCCCTCAGAGCTGGACCTCAGTGTCCGGGCAGAACGATGGGGGTGGAGACGCTTCTTCAGGTATACAGGACCGAGGTCGTTTAGGGCTTTAAAGGTCAGCACCAACACTTTGAATTGTATTCAAATGGCAATGAGAAGAGTTTTCAGGAAAACTACATTTCCCTTGGTCTCCTGAGCCTGTGCATTCTCTGACCGCATGTGCCAAGACAATGGAGAGCAAGGAGGAAAGATTCCCTCCTCTCACTGAACACCAACTTGCTGCTACCACCAACAATGAAAAGGAAGCAGGGAATGTGATTGTGGGGAAAATCTTTTGTCTATAGGGAAAGGATGCTGGAGACTGAAGGACAGGGCCAGCCCACCCATGAGACAAGATGAAGCGGCTGCCTCAGGCGGCAAGAAACACTGAGGCAGCAGATCGAAATGTAAGTCATTCTTCCCCTCCATGTTCATGATGTATGTAGGTCTTCACTCACCCCTTCTTCCCTCGCAGAGAGGGGGAAGCACCATTTTGGGGTCTGCCTCAGCTGGCAAAATGTCTTGGGCAGGCCCTACGGGAGGATAACTGAGTGCTTAGAGAAATTGCCCCACATTCTTCCCATCTTTCTTGGAAAAACTTATACTATTTCCAAACTAGGGAGCGCTTAGGAGAGCATGGCCATGTCTGTACCGAATAATAATAATAATAATAATAATAATAATAATAATTTATTATTTATACCCCGCCCATCTGTCTGGGCTTCCCCAGCCACGCTGGGCAGCTTCCAACCAAATATTAAAATACAGTAATACATCAAACATTAAAAGCTTCCCTAAACAGGGCTGCCTTCAGAAGTCTTCTACAAGTTTGGTAGTTGTTGTTCTCTTTGACATCTGGTTAGCTTGTTTTTGATATACTTTTTATTGATTTTTTTTTCACAACAAAGAAGCAAAGCGTGTTCCAGTAAAAGGTATAAAAAGGAAAAGATAATTCTCCTTCGTTCCACAACCATCTTAAGTTTCATATTACATTCACAGCAACAATTACAAGTTAATCGATATTTGCTGCCCTGTGATTGCGTAGTGAATAAGAAAGAGAATAGCAAACGCAGTCCCTGGTTATCTTTCATCATTGTTAGTAAAATACTGAAATGAAAACCATTGAAATTTGGGAAAGGCATTAAATACAATATACATTTTATAAGAATGTTAGCATCACAAATTCCAAAGTCTTGCATAGCGAGATGGGAGAGGGAATGTTGCTTTCTTGTTTATTACACATACGTAATAAAATCATATCATTCTCCAACAAAGTGATATTTTTTTCACTTTTCCACACGTGACGCTTATTTTACATGTAAGTTCTTCTGCAAAGGTGAGTTGTCCCACCTTATAGACTGATAACCCACTGTAGAGTTCTTTAGATGCTTCCAATGGTCTGAGCAATGGTCAATCAAGTGATTTCTGGTTTGTGACAGCTTTTTGGAAAACGGGTTGTTGTTTTTCTTGGGGCTGATTTGAGATAGAAAGATGACCTTTTATATAAAGATAGATATAGATGATACAGATACAGATATAGATGATACAGATATAGATATAGATGATATAGATATAGAAGGAGTTTTGCTAGGGCACCTCCACCCATTCCCAGATCAAATAGCCCTTGAATATCCACCTCTGTATAAGATGAATAAACTCTCAAGGGACTCTCAAGTTAACTCTCCCCCCTTTAATCTCCAAAACAAACTTTTCCTTCTTTACCTTCCAGCCACTGCTCCTTGTCTACCCTTCCTCTGGGACCACGGACAATTCCCTCCCTTCATTTATATTGCTACCTTGAAGATATTTTTAGATTGTGACCATGTTGCCTGAGTCTTCCTTTCCCCAGACTATATAAATTTAGCTCCCTTAGTCACTCTTGACTGACAAACATCTCGGTCGACCTTTCGGCGGGCATCTGTCTTCTATCCTCTGCCTTCTGCTTTGGTTCCCATAATCTGACAGGCCATGCCCCTGAAAAAATTAGCATTGCTTATTGCACATATGAATCATATTTTGTAGATAAGACCACCCATGTACAAAGTGTTTTACATTACTATCTTCATTAAAATCACCTCTACAACAACCTGGCAGAGCGGGCCATTGCTGTTCTAATTTTTGCACACAAGGAAATTGAGTCTCAGGGCATATTGCTCCACAGACCTATTTCCTGGTTTGGATCCAGATTTTTTTTTTAATATAAATTTTTATTAGTTTTTTTAACATATCATTTTCAACAGTAATTAAACATACCTTTACATCTTATTCAAATTTTTGACTTCCATCAATCCTGTCTGAAAATTTCCCAATCTAATCTCTCAGTATGCATTTCTTATCCTCCCTATTACATTTCAAACTCATAACCAATATCTCTATCTTTTTCTACTTTGTAACGCTTCGTATATTTCTCCTTACAAAACTTCTTGCAATCCTACTAGCGTAATTTGTTGATTACAGTTGCTCTTCAAATAATTCATATACTTCTTCCAATCTTCTGTATATCTCTGGTCCTGCAGGTTTCGAATCCTTCCTGTCATTTTGTCCAACTCTGCATAGTCCATTAATTTCGTCTGCCATTCTTCTTTCGTCGGAATTTCTTCTTGTTTCCATTTCTGGGCTAATAATACTCTTGCTGCAGTTGTTGCATATAAAAACAATTTAACATCTTGCCTATTAATGTCCTGACCTATAATACCAAGTGAAAATGCTTCTGGTTTTATTAAGAATGTGTATGTGGATCCAGATATTCTAGACCTAAGCCTAGCATGCTAACTGCAGACTCTCTAGTCTTTACATGTGTTCAAAGCTTCTTCCACATTTTTCTATTTTACTACTGTAAAAAAAAAAAGACATATATTTATGCATTTATCTATGCATCGGATCTAACCATGGTTTTTTCCCCTGTTAAAATGCTTAAGGAGCTGTGCAAGAGGAGAAAGGAACCTGGAAATCGGCTACACACAGAAACAGAAACACTGCAAAATGCTGCAAAAAAAAATACGGTATTTTAAAAAGCTTGAACAGGATGGGTATCTGAGTGCCTAACAAGACCTGTGTAATAAGAGAATGTCAAATGCTTTTTCAAAATAATAAGCCACTTCAGAATTGGACAGGATCAGCCCAACCTTCAGAGCTGTCACAGCCTCTTGAAATTCTCCACAAGAACTGCAGCTTCCAGAATCCCAAAGATGTCCTGCAACAGGGCACAAAACTTCAGCAAATTTATCCAGCTAGATTAGAAAATGCAAATGGTTTGAAGCTTTTATATGAATTTTCCCCTGCTTAACATTGTGGAAGGTCTTCCTCGACTTTCTTCTGGGCTCGATGAGACCAGCTCTCTGGCCAGAAGAATCGCAATGCAGTTGACCTATCCCTGCTAAAAAGAAATCCCTGTTTGTCTGTTTTGAGAAGCATTCAGATTTGCCATGTTAATATTGCATGCACACAACAATAGCTTTCCATCCCTGCTCCAACTCATTTCCAATTTTTACATACAAACACAAAGGGCACCTGCTGGTATGCTAAAAATACAACTCAAATGTCAATAATTGCTCTGGACACCTGGTTGTGCTTTGGCAATAGCGAAGCTCGCTCTTATCAGAGAGCAAGCCTTCCCCAACAATTTGCTGAGCTGCTATGGGATGTTCATGAATATTCCAAATGCTGGAGTTGCTGGCAATGATACTGCTCAGAGTTTGGAGAAGGAATAGAATGAAAATTTTTGGCATCCATCTGTCTCAAGAGACAACGGAAGAGTGTGCCATTGGGGATAAAGTAACACCATTGGAGAAACAAAATAAAAAAATTCCTTCCAGTAGCACCTTAGAAACCAGCTAAGTTTGTTATGGTAGTGATGTATGGAAGTGAGAGCTGAACCATAAAGAAGGCTGATCACTGAAGAATTGATGCTTTTGAATTATGGTGCTGGAGGAGACTCTTGAGAGTCCCATGGACTGCAAGAATATCAAACCGATCCATTCTTAAGGAAATCAGCCCTGAGTGCTCACTGGAAGGACAGATGCTGAAGCTGAGGCTCCAATATTTCGGCCACATCATGAGAAGAGAAGACTCCCTGGAAAAGACCCTGACGCTGGGGGAAATGGAGGACACAAGGAGAAGGGGACGACAGAGGACGAGATGGTTGGACAGTGTTGTCGAAGCTATTAATATGAGTTTGACCAAGCTGCAGGAGGCAGTGGAAGACAGAAGTGCCTGGCGTGCTCTGGTCCATGGGGTTGAAGAGTCGGACACTAAATGACTAAACTACAACAATAAGTTTGTTATTGGTATGAGCTTTCGTGTGCATGCACACTTCTTCAGACACACTGAAACAGAATCACCTTTATATATAATGAGAGGGTGGGGAGGGGTATTACTCAGAAGGTTGGTGGGAATGGGTGATTGGCTGATAGGTGTGGTAAACCAGTTGACGACTGTTAACGACTGCAATTGTTCTTACAGGAAAAAGCAAGGGGTGAGATGGCAAAAAATACGGTAGCTTTATCATGTATAATGAGAATAAGTTGTTTGTTAATAACTTATTACCAAACTTAAAACCATGGAGACACCTAGTCTAAATAGAGACATTGGATTCTTATCTCATTATACATGATAAAGCTATCATTGTTGCAGAAGACGATGGGCATTAATATGCTCTCTGTACAGGTATGTATGTCAAAGAATGACAATAAGTCAGCCTACATCCTCAGTGAGGCTGTAACACCACTGACATGAGATGTAATAAAATGCTTGATGCCACAATTCCTACACAATCTTGCTTCTGCTGACTCTGCTAATACGTCGTATAGTGTGCACATGTCTTTCGGATGTGTGCCGAAGCTTTATACAGGACTCCACCAAGGGACCGTCCTGTCAAACTGCCCCTCCTTTGCCTGTTGTTGCTACTGTTGATGACAATAATTTTGTTATCCGTATATTTGTTGACAGCTGGTGGTTTAAGAAGAAGCCCCTTGGGCTATGCACCAGATCCAGCCAGATCCCAGATCCTGAACCAAATAGAGCTGATTCAAATTTCCCTGGAATTTGGCCAGAGCAGAAAGGATCGGTCGAGAGATATGGTACTGTCTCCTTGGAAGGCATCACAGTTTGGATCTTCAGTTCCTGGATGAAGAACATGTGTGGGGATGTCAAAAGGAGCAGGAAGCTGCTGACTTGGGGCAGTTGAGAGGAACTGGCTTTGCCAACCCTGCCATTGGGGCTCTAGGCCTTGAGAACATGAATATCTTTTACAGATTGTTCTATTTTGAAAGAAAACTACATGAAAATGATGTATAGATGGTATGTAACACCAGTACAGATAAAAAAATGTATAAAACTGGGTTAAACATATGTTGGAAATGTAAAGAAAAGGAAGGGATCTTTTACCATATGTGGTGGGAATGCAGAGAAATTAAAAAAAATTTGGGAAATGATATATAATGAGTTGAAGAAAATGTTTAAAATGACATTTGTAAAAAAAAAACCAGAAGCATTTTTGTTAGGGAAAACAAAGAACTTATTTATGTATGCTACAACAGCGGCAAGAGTCTTAATAGCACAAGGATGGAAGAATGAGGAAACCCCGACAAAATAACAGTGGCAAGAGAAATTGATGAACTGTGCAGAACTGATGAAATTGACATACAAATTTCAATATAAGTACAACTGTGACTTTAAAGAAGAATGGGAACTTTTTACAAATTGCTTAAAAAGACAACAAAATGAACTGAACTCCTCGGCAGGTTTTGAATAAACATACACAAATTTTGTGAGGGTTAAGATAGTAGATAGATAATACAAAGATGTATACAATTTTACAATATGCAGAGAACAACATGAGTTGAGAAATCTCAGAGAGGAGCTTAGGGAAGTCTGGGGGGAGGTGTCGCTCATCTGCCATTCATTCCAAGCAGTGCATGGGGACGCGACTTCAGCTTTGGGGATGTGGGAGGGGGGAAGGGGGGAATAATGAAGATGATTTGTTTTGATAATTTGTTATGTTGAAATTGTCAATAAAAAAAATTATAAAAAAGAGAGAGAACATGAAGGACTACTGCATCAACGTTCATGAACTCTATCAAACAAGGTTGGCAGGCCAATGGAGTTTTGGAAAAACAAGGAAGCACACCGCTAAAGATACTGCTTATTTACTTTCCTCTAGAGAACCCTAGAACTTGCAAAGCTGAAGTCGCGTCCCCATGCACTGCTTGGAATGAATGGCAGATGAGCGACACCTTGCATGGTGTTTTTTCTTTATTTCAGACTATTTAAACTATCCCTCTATGCATTTTTCTTGGCACCACGTGCAGGAAGGTCCCTTCTAAAGGAATTTCAGCAGTCTGCTAAAGCCACTCCACCTGGCCTGGGCATTTTATTTTATTTTATTGGCACTGCCGGAGCAACCCGCCTTCGCCAATGGAAGGGCAGCGGGTGGATCAAATTGCCCCGACTCAGCACTGGCAGCAAACAGCCTCCCACTTCCAAACGCCTTATGAATTTTTTAGAGAAGGACCAAAGTGCCTTGCTGAGTCAGCCAATCAGAGGCAGCGGATTAGCGAGAGACGGATCTTAAATTATTAAGCAAGCACAGCTAGATGGGAGGTCGAGAGGGAGAGAGGGAGTTGCTCCTTTCGCTGAACGGAAAGGCAGAAACACGGCCTGAGAGCCAGGAGGATGCAATAATTCTAGCGACTGGGCAGGCCAGAGACAAAATGTGTGGGAGGGTATCCGTTTCCCCTCCAGGTCATAAATTTTTATTGATTTTCACGATTTTTACAGATTTGCTTAAATTTCAATATATGCTTTTCTTAAAATTTTGACTTAACCACCCTCACTTCCATGAAATTTTTATCCCCACCTTTTACCTACAGCTTTGTAGAACACGCTTTTATCTAATATAATTATTGTATTTATCTAATACAATACAATTATCTAGTACAATTTCACTTATCATTGTTTTCATTCCACTGCTCATAATTTGAACCCTGCCCACGTTTTCATTTGACTATAACAGTTCTTTAAACAGTCCAAAAAGGGTCTCCACTCTTCCATGCCCATTTTGTCTCTCTTCTCTCTTATTTTTGCTTTCAATTTCACCATTTCTGAATAGCTCATTCACTTCTGAAGCCATTCCTCCTTGGTTAGTCCTTCTCTTCCATTCCATTTCCGCACGTAGAGGATACCGGCTGCTGTCGTTGCATGCATAAATAGTTTAACCATCTTTTCCAGGACCTGCGTCCCTATTATCCCTTTGCTTTTGCTGTTTGGAAGTCCAATTCAATAACTGGATATAAGAATCAAGGCTACAACCTTTGATTGGCAGGTCAGTCAACTAAATCAGGGTAGGGAACCATCTGCAGCTCAAGGGTCACATTCTCCTCTTGCAATTTTCTGGGGGACCACATGCTCACGGTGGGCTTTCAGGCCGAGGGAGCCGGCATTTGTCTGCAGACAACTTTCCAGGTCATGTGGCCAGCAGGACTAAACCGCTTCTGGTGTAACAGGACACCGTAATGGAAACCAGAGTGCACAGAAATGCCGTTTACCTTCCTGCTGCAGCAGTACCTATTTATCTACTTGCACTTTGACGTGCTTTCGAGCTGCTAGGTTGGCAGGAGCAGGGACCGAGCAACGGGAGCTCACCCCATCGCGGGGATTCGAACCACTGACCTTCCAATTGGCAAGCCCAGGAGGCTCCATGGTTTAGACCACAGCACTACCCGCATCCCACTACTAGAGTGCATAAACACATCCCCTACCCTGTACCAAGCATTATTCAGAATAGCGGTTTGCACAACCCTCTGAAATTCGAAATAGCAACCATTAATTGCACTTTTTAAAAAATGCAATGTAAACTATTTCGTTTAATTAATTCAATGAAATTGGTGAAGTTCATCCAGTGATACCAGCTTTTCAAAGTCTGGTTGTCAATTTCACCTCCAATTTCCCCCTGCCACCTCCTTGCCTCTTTTTGCCCCGCCCCCAGGTAATCTAACCCCCTCACATGGGGCATTACCACCCATTGTGTGATGGCCTGGGATTCGGACTCGGATGCTGAACCTGAGGGATCCCAGCCTGCACAGGATTCCCCGCCTCCAGAACCAGCTGAGCCGGGGCTGGGGCATGAGACTGAAGAGTCCTCACCTGTGCTGGATCCTCAGGTGCAGGCATCAGCTGAGTCTGCTCTGGCTCCTGAGGTGATGGAGGACCCATTGCCTTCAGGTGCTCCACACTCAGCCCCGTCAGAGGAAGCTGAGGTTGCCTCTGGGTCCAGTAACCCCCCAGCCTCTCCTGAGCTACAGAAGCTCAGGGCAGAGAGGCGGAGGGAACTAAGTTCCTGCAGGAGGAGTGCTCGCCTCCAGGCCAGGAGAGGCGAGTCACCAGAGGATCGGGGCCTCCCCATGCCTCGGGGCAGATAAAAGCCCGCCAGCTCCAGTCCCAAGCTGTGGGAGCAATATTGTTGGTTGCTAGTTCCTGCCTGAACCCTGTCCTGCTTTCCTGCCTGAGCTCCTGACCTGCCCCGGCTCCCTGCTTGCAAGCCTGTTCCTGACTTCACCCAACTCCCTGCCCTGCACCCAGCTGCAGCTACTATGGACTGCCTCCACATTGCACCTTCGACCATGGACCCGACTTGGACCTTGCCTCTCAGGTAACCCATGGGACCAGCACACATTGCCCCTAGACCATGGATAGGCCAACTAAAGCCCGGGGGCCGGATCCGGCCCAATCGCCTTCTAAATCCGGCCCACGGATGGTCTGGGAATCAGCTTGTTTTTACATGAGTAGAATGTGTCCTTTTATTGAAAATGCATCTCTGGGTTATTTGTGGGGCATAGGAATTCATTTCCCTCCAAAAAATATAGTCCGGTCCCCCACAAGATCTGAGGGACAGTGGACCGGCCCCCTGCTGGAAAAGTTTGCTGACCCCTGCCCTAGACTCTGTGTTCAGGCCCTGGTAGCATGTCTTCTTTAACACCACACCTGGGATTTCTGCATCCACAGTGTCTGTACACCTACTGACTCCAGATCGGTCCCACCGTTAAGGGGCATTTCCAAGTCCAGGAAGGAGAAGAGGACCAGGGTGACAGCAGAGCTGGCATCAGCAGTTCTCAGAGGGCACTGGGCATTGTACATGAATGGTGGCAATGTCACTCCCTGCTGAGTGTCCCCAATGGAAGGTACCATTGACACTGGAGATGAAAAACAGCTTGGTGCACAGAGCACCACGTAAGCCCTGCTCCCCTAGGAAAGGAATGACTTACAAGGCAATGCAGTAAATCCAAGGTTAATTACTCTAGGATGACAACCTGCTCTGCTCAGTGATTTGATTGAAAGCAGGACACCCATAAGCCATCTCCTGCAAGGGCAGTGATCTTGGAGCACGGTTTCCTTAGCCCTGGTCGATGACCATCCTGCTGAAGAAGTAGAAGAGTTTGGATTTGATATCCCGCTTTATCACTACCCCAAGGAGTCTCAAAGCGGCTAACAATCTCCTTTCCCTTCCTCCCACACAACAAACACTCTGTGAGGTGAGTGGGGCTGAGAGACTTCAGAGAAGTGTGACTAGCCCAAGGTCACCCAGCAGCTGCATGTGGAGGAGCGGAGACATGAACCCGGTTCACCAGATTACGAGTCCACCGCTCTTAATCACTACACCCCACTGGCTCAATGCTGAAGGAAGGCAGGGGGCTTGGAGAACCAGGATTGTATCCAATGCTGCATGAGCACAATACCCCCTGGGCAATGGGACTTCCTATTCCTCTCCCCGCATGTTCCCCCCAAATCCACTTACCCTATGGAGAGTTTTTGAGGGTGCACAGCATGGGTTGCCTTCAGAGGAGGGGCGTATCTGTCGCACAAGCAGAATGGCACCAATGGATACAACTCTCAGGTGTTAAAATGCTCCACCGTGAGGATTGCAAGCAAAAACAACCTACAGGTTTTCCCCCGTCATCAATGTATTTGTGGGGGAAAGCCAGAAATTTGGTTGGTTGATAGATTTACCAATGCTGGGGGTTTTGTGTTTTGTTTTAGTAAAAGTAAGCAGCATAATTAAGGGACACGGGTGGTGCTGTTGGTTAAACCACAGAGCCTAGGGCTTGCTGATCAGAAGGTCGGTGGTTCGAATCCCCACGACGGGGTGAGCTCCCGTTGCTCAGTCCCTGCTCCTGCCAACCTAGCAGTTCGAAAGCATGTCAAAGTGCAAGTAGATAAATAGGTACCACTCCGGCGGGAAGGTAAACGGTGTTTCCGTGCGCTGCTCTGGTTCGCCAGAAGCGGCTTAGTCATGCTGGCCACATG